AAGAAGCGATGATTGTTTGAGAAATGAACATATGGGAGCTGCCAAGAGATTGTTTGCTAATGCCCTGGGGATGCATCCAAGGGATGCCAATCTCCCAAAGTGCGATGGAACAAGGAATTTCAGTTGCTGATATTTTTGGTAGTTTTGTATAGTTGGTGCATAGATGATAAATTCATATTTGCTCTGTATTAATTACCCTTTCTTATTGTGCATTGACGGTCTAATACTTGTGGCAGATACAGATTTGGAAGCTTTCTGGCCCCTAGTATGACAAACAAACTTGTTTTTTGCAATCCCACTGACTCCTCTTGCGCATCATGGTAAGATTAACAAACATTGTTCGAGTTCTAAAACGTACATGCTTGTATTTTAGTGATTTCAAATAACATGTGTACGTTGGATTCCTAAAAATGTAACAATCACGCGAATATTTCTCGTCCAACTTTGCTTAAGGTCATACATTGCTGCCAACTCATTTTAGAAAAAACAACATAAAAATCAAGTAAAAATATGTCTCATCAAAGAACTTAATGAAAAGTGCAGTATAGAAAATGATTTGATTTTTTTTTTAAATGCACTGTTTTGTGGATGCCGCGTAGGATGAAATGATCCATTTATTTGGCAGGAGAAACGAGTTACATGACTAGCACATGCCATATTCGCAACAATAAGTTTTGGCATATCTGGGCTATAATTGTCCATCATTTTTTAGCTTTTCAAGTTGAGAGCATTGTTATTTTAAAGTAATGATCACCTACCCACGGTGGGCACATGTTAATATGTCCACCGTTTATGTGACATGCATACATTGACATATTAACATGTGCCCACCGTGAGTAGGTGAGCATTACTCTAACAGGATAATGTTCCCCTACCCACGGTGGGCACATGTTAATATGTCTACCGCTTATGTGGCATGCACACATTGGTGATGCATTTTTTTGATCATATTAACATCACTAATGTGTGCATGTCACATAAGCGGTGGACATATTAACTTGTGCTCACCGGGAGTAGGGGAACATTATCTTGTTATTTCATTATGATTATTGATTATTCATTTACATATAATTTTGATACACCAAAATTTATCTCGTATTTCAACTTACCCAATTGAAGTATCACTGGTTTAAAAAATTGGATTGGCTCCCGGTCCGGTCCTCGCCCAAAAACTGCCTCGCAAAGAACAAGTCTTTGACCAGTTGGACCCATCAAAACTTGTCGGTCGGACCAGTTTGATTTTTTTTAAAAGTTTAATAATAAAATAATTTTTCTATTAAAAAGTACAAATTTCAATATTTTAGATATGCACAAACAATGATATCAACTAATTTAGCTATTTAAGTATTTTAAATTATTTAAATGTTTAATTAACGATGTTTTTTTTTATAAAATTTATTATATAAATATTTAAAACTATTAATAAATAAATATTGGTTCAACTGGTCAATTGCTGGTCCAACCGACGAAAATAAAATATTGGATCTACTAGTTCGATGATCGGTAAAAACTTGGTACCTTAAATTTATTTTGTTTATCGGATATAAATTTTCAGAAAATATGTGTTTGTGTGTAACTTGTACTAGTACAATATCTGTGTACTACACGAGTGTTGAGTTAAGAAATATATAATAAATGTTATTGTTAAAATAAATTTTGTATTTAAAATTTTTGTGGACTAGTTGATGAAAAAAAAAAAGATGAATATACAGTGCAGAAACAAATTTGTAAATCCTAATTTAGGAGAGAAATATGAGAGAAAATGTAATATTGTAAGATTGTTACTTGTCAAAACTAAGAAGGAAGTGTGTACTAAGAGAAAAAATAACAAAATTAAATATACACTTACCAAATTTGAAAAAAATTATTTATGTCTATTAATATATAAAGAAGTAATGATATTTACTTGAAATAACAAGAAAAAATCAGTAAAAAAACATTTCAATTCTTACCTAAATAATAAAATTTACTAAATAGGGAAATATTTTTTGGCCACAATTTGAAAAGTACCGCCTGTATCTATATATATATATATAATTACTAGCTCGTGTGCATTTAATAAAACCTCAAAATTTTTCCCTCCAAAAGAGGTTACTTTGCATTAATTATGTATTTATTCTTTTTTTTATTTATTTTATTATATAGCAATTACTCCTAACATATCATAAAGCTACATTAAATGAAATTATAATTTATTTTTTTTTCAAATTATTTATTTGATTTTTTTTTTTTGGTTTTAACTCATTAATCAAGTATTTTTATCAACATTAGTTATTTAATTTTTATGATATAACCAAAATTTTCAAAATTTCGATACTATAATAATAATAATAATAATAAAAATTGTTTCAATATTATTTTATTTAATCAATTGTTCATAGTAAAAAAGTGATGCAAAAATTATATAACTGCAATCGATATAAAAATTAATATGTAAGTTAATAGTTTATCGTTCATTTTTACTAATGATAAAATTTATAAAATGTGATATGCTATTATCTAACTTGTGATATTAAATATTACATACATATACATATAACATATAAAATTGTATTTGCATATGTGCATGTGCACAGGATCGAATACTAGTTGTATTAAATTTGAATTGTTTCATTTCAACTTTTTGGAAATAAAATTGGGAGTAATTAGGGGTTTTAATTTTTTTATATCTTTGGATATTGTTGTAATACAAATAAATCTTGGTGAGTTTTCGTAATTATCCCTTTGATTCAATCCCTTTCGTAATAAATCCGAAGAAATCTCGGGGAGACATTTTGATTATATTTGTTGAAAATAATCTATTACTATATAATACGGTTAAGATAAATTATGAAAATATTTCGAAAAAAAAAATTTCATTTTTCCCTTTTTTATGTCATTTTCCCGCTTCTGTTTTTGGTTTTATACCCTTTTTTCAGCAATTTTTTATTTTTTATTTTTTATTTTTTTCACATGTCACGCCCATGCAATTTGGTAACAAATCAAATTGGATATAATATGGTTTATTAAATCAATTGGATGCGATTTCCATGCGTGTAGGAATAAACTTTTCAAAAAATTAGGATGCTATTTACCTGCATTACACGTGATTCCTATTATCATGGTTGGATTTCAATTAATTTCATACGTGAATCCTATTTATTTAAATCGAATTTTGTTAACTTATTCGAATTCGAATTAATCTTTCTTTACCGTATTCCAATTAAATTTGATTTAATTATTTAGATTTGTCCATATCCATTGTCCACAAAAAAACAATTTAATTCATACGTGAACACGTATTCGAACTAATCGTGGATAACAATATTCTACCGAATCTGTCAATTTACAAATTGAAATGAAATTTTTTTGTTCTTTAAAGCAAAAACTTGGTTTATTCTATAATACACCTCACGAACAAATAAAAATATACTAACACATTTACACATTTCTTCAACAAAGACAAAATCACAAACAAAATATAATATATGATACATCTCACAAACAATTAAAAAAATGAAATACAATATTCCTTAAAAAATTGGATTTTATATAATATAAAATCTACAAGATGATTCTACCTTTAATTATTTTTTCGAATATTGGAAAAGCATATCTAATTGGGAATAGAATAAACGAATTACAGATTTTGAGTCTTATTTAACATGCTAATTGATATAACCATTTCTAAAACTAAATGATTCTATTTTCTTGATTGGGAATAGAATAAACGAATTACACGTCCAGTATAACACCACGTATAATCACTATATATACTCCCGTCTATGTGATATCAATCAATATTTTGAAAATAATATATTAAAAGAAAATATATATTTTTTGCACACATATAATCACTATATATACTCCCGTCTTTAGCAGATCCATATCTATTACTATATAATACAGTTAAGAAAGACTATTCAAAAAATTCGAAATAAATAATTTATTTTCCCGCTTTTTTAAAGTTATATTCCCGCTTTTGTATTTCGTTTTTTACCAGTTTCAGAT